GTCAGAGGTAGCCATTTCTTTTGGAGCTAAGTTGACCTGCCACTGAGTAGTGCTCCCAGTCTTAATGAAGAAGGTAGACGCCTTCTACTTCGCCCAGTCTTGATGGTTGTCAGCAGACACCATCACAACTTGATATCCTAATATGATTGTGTGGAGATAAAAAAAAAGAGGAAGAAGAGGACAATAACAACATATAGTTGTATTAAAAATAAAAAAGGCATATCCTGAGACCGCTTACTTGAGAATTTCAGATGGCAGAGCGAGATCCAGTAGAATTATAACAAATGAACTTTGATTTGAGCTTGTTCCATAATATTTTGGCCAACCCTTTTTATTCATAAATCAATAAGAGCAACTACCTACTCGTTTCGGGTTGTTGGCCCTCGTCATCTAATGTCCAAAATATCATTGACAAGCTTGAATCAACGTTTGGTTGATTTTTGTTCCCCTAGATGGCGCTATACCATCTAAAATATTAATGTGAACGGTCAGAATATATGTATTTATATTGTTTTTATATCAACACCTGACCTTTTATATATATTTCTTATTTTTAATATAGTTATATATAATAGTATTTTGGTGTATAGGTGTATATGTAGGTATAAAAAAGCATGAGGAAAGAGAGACCTGCTGGGTTATTCATATTAAATATTATATATTTATACAAGTCAAAGTGAATAGAACATCGAAAAAGGTCAAAAGTCAAAACATCTTTTAATATATATAATGCCAGTTTTAGAACATGATTTCATTTATTGGGACATGAGAAATTTAACCATTACGGCTGTAGTAGATCTACAAGGCTTAAATCGGAACTGATTTCGAGGCGCTTTACACATCCTATCAGCCATCCACGACAGCCTAGAAAGAACTAGACGCTCAAGGATCTTGCCCAAACCAGGCAGCATCGTGATTGGACTGTGTGATGCGAGAAAGTCCTCTTCACTTCGCTTGGGAGCGAGAACGACGAAAAGTAATAAATTGGATTCAAAATAAAGAAGGTAAAGTCAAGCGTATTTACACAAGTTTAGCCATTAATACCCATTTCTTGGTTTCTCAAGAAGCCTCTGGGACCAAAAATATTTTTGGTCGCAGTGGTACAGCTTACACCACGCTGACGAGCGCCAACAGCGCGAAACGCGTTCGTGGATGGCTTTTTTTGATTTATCAAGAAATTGGATTGGCTAAATATCAGGGAACAGGTTAAATCAGTTTTTACTTGATTTCTTTTCACTAGATGGCACTCTGCCATCTGAAAAGCACATGTGCTTTTGGTCAGGATATGCCTTCTTTATTTTTAATATCAACACCTGACCTTTTTATTTATTTATTTATTTTTTTTTCATATATTGGATTGAATACAAATATTTTAAAATAATATTTCGGTTGGCTAGACGCCAATTTTTGTCAAGGCATTGCATTTTTACAAACCAACCTAGCCTCGTTGTTTGTTTTGTTTATAAATAATATAGTGCCTTGACAAAGGTTGGCATTCAGCCAACTGAAATTTTGGTAAAAAAGATCTTCATTCAATATAATTTATGCCTTTTAATTAAATAATTCTCTAATATCTAGCATATTATCATTCTAAAATATTCATTAAAACTTTCTTCAATCTGTAAATTGTTTTTCTTGAATACCAACAATACTTTACAATTTGATTTAATTTAACTAAATTTGCATATCAACCCTTTGTACATATATAAATTGTGTTGATATTTTTTCTATTTTTATCTAACTAACTTGCATACTAATTATGTACATATTTCAAATATCTTTCTTTCTTTTCTTTCAAAATTTTGCTTATCTTTAAAGTGCAAGTGTCCCTAGGGGGACATAGCGTTCTAAGTTGAAATAAAGATTAAATGCCTTTTTATTATATGAAAATTCAAATATATATTGCTCTATTTTCAGAAATATTTATATTATTAAAAAATTGACCATTTCTAGATGGAACAAAAATAAACTAAACATTTATTTAACTTGCTCCGTGATATTTGGCCAACCCAATTTCTTGATAAATCAAGAAAAGCCAACCACGAACGCGTTTCGGGCTCTTGGCCCCTCGTCAGCGTGCTGCAGACTATTTATATTATATATTTATGTCACTATATGGCAGCAACCATATTGCCACGTGGAAAATTAGGGAAGACAAATTACGGATTGAATCAACAATTTATTTCATGCAAGAACAAACTATCAGTGATTAAAAAAAAAAGATAAGCAAAGAGGGAAGTGTACAGAGTAGCAAAATATAAACATAAAAATGATACTGTGTTGATAAAATAATAAATACTTTGCTACATAGCTCCTTCCCTATGGGAGCTGTGACCCACATCTATCAATTATTGTAGATACTGACATGGATCTGACGTGCTTCTGCCAAGGATTCCATCGAAATCTTGGAACTTTATCCCTAGTACCTTTGCCTCCTTTTTCTTGCGGCGTGAAGAGAGGCTTTGTCGTCGTATCGTCTATAGGGACATCGTGATCTTGAAAGGAAGTCTTGGCTTTGACACGTCTGTGGAATCCTGACAGTCTCCGAAAATGTATATCATAGCACCCATGGCCTTTAGGACTTTTCGGCGATCTTCAGTTTGTCTTCCCTAATTTACCCAGCATCTCCACCAAAATTCCACATATAAAATTAGGGAAGATCAACTTCGGGATGAAACAACAATTTATTTCAGGCAAGAACAAACTATCAGTGATAAAACAAAAGATAAGCAAAGAGGGAATGAACAGAGTAGTAAAATATAAACATAAAAAATGATACTCTGCTAAAAAAAATAATAAATAATTAGTTACAATATAAATGGTATATGCAAATTTGTTTAAAATATATTTTAGTAAACATTTATTTCACACACACAGTAACAGGACAAAATTGTATCAAGTCAATTTTATAAATAGTTACAAAAACCTCCAATAGATGACAGTATTGTGTAAAAGCAAAAATATTCTATTTATTAAATATAATCGATATAAATAAATAGTACATTCATTGAATTTCAAATTTTATATATTTATATTTTGTGGAAAAATCATATAATGAATTTGTATGAAATACACCTTCGCCAAAATTTTAAGAATATATTTTTACAAAAAAAAAATGTTAAAATTATAAGCTAGTTCCATAGTTTAAAATTTTCAAGAGAAATTTTGTGATTTGAGACCTAAACCAGATTGTAGTTTTAGCAATTTTGTTTATGCCAAAATCTGTTATAGAAAGCTTCTTTCCCAACTTAGCAAAAATCTTTGAGATATTGATTGTCAGAAAAATGAAGGAATATTTAATTTCCCTGCTGAACACAAATCGGTTTCTTGAAAGGACGTTCAATAAAAGAGGTCTATCGGAAACACCAAATTGTTCTTGCGGAGAAACTGAACAAACTGCTCTTCACCTTATCTATGACTGTCCGAACTTTACAGAAGTGAGACATCGATTGTTCCCTGATCCTAAATGATCTAACTCTTTCACCTCAGCGCCATTTTTTCTATATATATTTTATGAACTCTGTCGAATAATATATGTAAATTTGTAAATATTTAATCCTTAGTTCTAATTTTCAAAATTTTGTTTTCCAAACAGAAATAATGTAATATATTTTTCGCTCATTATATAATAAATATTTAAAATATGTATATAATATTGTGTAAATAAAAATTGTATTTATAATCATTCAATAACTCATATCTTTGCAGAAGGTCTGTAGAGATAATATTTGATGATATTTAAAAGAAGTGCATTACCAGTAAATTTATTTGTGTAAATATTAACGATAGATGGCAATTAAATTTAAATTACTAATATATATTTGTTATAAAACATATTTTGCGGAAGAGCTTTGCTCGATGCAACACCTTCAAATTATATGTATGTTCCTCTACAGACCTATAAACTTATGTTCATAGTGCACTAAACACCTCTAAGCTGCCTTCCATAAGTCCAACCTCACCAGTCTTTTCTTCTTTCTTATCTCCACTCAAGCATATCAGGGTATCGAGCTTGTAGAGCTTGTTGATGGCGTCTGCTGGCAATGAGTCTTCTTCATTCTTATCTCCACTCAATCATATTAGGATATTACGTTTGTAGAGCTTGTTGATGGTGTCTGCTGGCAATGAGTCTTCTTCATTCTTATCTCCACTCAATCATATTAGGGTATCAAGCTGGTAGAGCTTGTTGATGGTATCTGTTGGGGATGAGTCTTCTTCTTTCTTATCTCCACTCAATGATAATTAAGGTATCAAGCCTGTAGAGCTTGTTGATGGTGTCTGTTGGGGATGAGTCTTCTTCTTCTTTTTATCTCCACTCAATCATATTATGGTTTCAAGCTTATAGAGCTTGTTGATGGTGTCTGCTGGGAATGAGTCTTCTTATTCTTATCTCCACTCAATCATAATTAAAGTATCAAGCTTGCAGAGCTTGCTGATGGTGTCTTCTGGGTATAAGTCTTATTTCTTATCTCCACTCAATCATATTAGGATATCAAGCTTGTAGAGCTTGTTGATGGTATCTGCTGGGGATAAGTCTTCTTCTTCTTTCTTATCTCTACTCAATCATATTAAGGTTTCGAGCTTGTAGAGCTTGTTGATGGTGTCTGCTGGGGATGAGTCTTCTTCTTTCTTATCTCCACTCAATGATATTAAGGTATCAAGCTTGTAGAGCTTGTTGATGGTGTCTGCTGGGGATGAGTCTTATTCTTCTTTCTTATCTCCACTCAATCATATTAGAGTATCAAGCTTGTAGAGCTTGTTGATGATGTCTGCTGGGGATGAGTCTTCCTCTTCTTCTTTATATATCCACTCAATCATATTAAGGTATCAAGCTTGTAGAGCTTGTTGATGGTGTCTGGGGATGAGTAAAGCTCATCAATGGATGAGTCAATACGTTGGTATAATATTTTCATATATAATGGACAGCCAAGTGTCTTGACGCCTTCTAGAGGTGAACTCCCATTTCAACGTTATTATAAGATTTTAATTCTAGTTTTTTTCCCAAATTCGATAGCTCAGTTGACAAAGTGGAGGACTGTAGATGTATAAACGGTCCATCCTTAGGTTGCTGGTTCAAATCCGGCTCGAGGGACCTTTTTTTAAATATAAAACTAGATAACTTAATATTCTTAATTTAATTTGTAAATTAAATTCACTGTGCATTAAATTGATGAAGAGGGAGCAATCTCTCGAAATATTTTGAGAGAAAAAAAATGTTTTTTTTCTTTCTTTACAGATCCAGGTACCCCCTTTTATTTAATCTTAATATTCTTAATAACTCAAAAAGTCAACCATAATATAACAAAAGTAAAATTATATATTTGTTATATTTTTTTTCAGATGACTTTTGATAAAATTATTTGCTTCTTTTTTGATGAATATCTATATATATATATATATATAAATCAATATTTGTATATGTTTGTTTGTTTGTATGTCCGGTATACAAATTCGCAGTAGTTCACTAATTCAAACCATAATTTCCATACATAGGTTAAAAAATACGGGGAAGACGATAGGCTATTTTAAAAATATATAAATCAATTATTAAAACTATATATTCAAATTATTCTACTTAGCTCACGAACATCGCCCTCTATCAAAGATTATATTAAATTATGCTGATGCAAACAAATAGATAATGCTAATAACAAACAATTATTTTAAAAAAATCTTATCTAAATATAAATCACTCGGGTAGATATGCACACGGGTCAATCCCGGGGCGAAGCCCGGGTCACCCGTTTAGTATCTAATATAATAATAATTTACATAAAGAGTAAAACCTCAATGAGAAGACACTCACGCTAGAGGATACCTCTCTACAAAGGACATTTTTTATTTACAAATTTCCCTTTTTACTCTTTAGTAACTCTACGTTAAGAAGACACCTCTCTCTAAAGGATACTTTAGCTCTGAAATTAGATGTCCTTTACAGAGAGGTTCTACTGTATATCAAAAGTATTTTAGATAGCTTCATTAAAAAGCGATGAAACTGATTAATTCAACATTTAAAAAATAACAAAATTAATATTAAGGAAAAAAAAACATTTTCTGATTGTGCAACGAAAAGTTGCTAATGGCTTGCATCATCAGTAAAATTATACATTTGTTAATTTGTTTCATATTTGTGGTGGTTTTTAATTAACGACAATCCACAAAAATAATTTCTTAAAATTTATTTGATAGCGATTTTGTTTTAAGTTGAAAATTTGCCTTGAATTAAATACCAAACGATGTACGTTTTCGTTGTTTTTAAATATTGCGAAATATGTTATAATTTTTGTTTTAAATATAAATACTTATATATATTTCTTAAATATTTATAATTTGATATTATGAGTAATTTTATTTTTCACTTTTGATCAAATTGAAATTCTTGTTTGATTGCTTGCAAATGTTCGTTAAAGTTTATATTTTAAATACGGCTCACCAATTTATGTGGGCGGCATGGAATTCTAGGCGGAGTCAGATAACAAATTATTTATTGTAAAATCAACTTTTAATTACATTTATTTATACAAATTATCAGAAAGGTTAAATTGTTGTATATTACACGTTGAAGTTTTATATATATATATATATGTGTGTGTGTGGTCAAATATCATTTCTAGATTATATAATGTTAGATATATGTGTTTGATATATTATAGATAAATATTTACATTTTATATGATATATGATTTATATTTAGAATGATGTATAATTATTTTATTATATTGATATGACAACAATTAATATGATATTAATGTTAATTCATATAATTTAAAAAAGTATATTTTATGAGCATTATATATTTATAAGATAATTTAATTTAATATTTGAATTAAATATAGTTATTAAACAAATTAAAACTTATAATGAAAATATGAAAAGTTAATATTTGGGAGCCACTACATCACTCCCCTTCCAGTGACGGAAGTCACGTCCAATAGACTCATTGTACCAGGAAGGAGTTTTTATCCGTCTTCCGCTGCGGGTCTCCTTTGGCAATTCGAACCGCACCCCAGGCTTAGATGGTTGCGGTTTACTGGAAGGCCCGATGTGATCTTCTCTGCTGGCAGGTATGATGGGATCTCCACTGCTGGCAGGTTGATTTAGTGTTCCCAATATATAAGCGGGCTTTAATCGATCTATCGATATCTTCACTTCCCTGTTCTTAATTTTTAGCGTAAAAAATTTATCAGATTTTTCAAGAACTGGATAAGGTCCTTCGTAATATGGTTCTAAAGGCTTTCTAATTTTATTGATTCTCAAGAAAACTTAATCAGATTTAAATAAATCTTTATGGATAAAAATATATTTGGTTACATTGTGATTCGTTGTTATTGGTCTAACCATATGCATATACTCTATGAGGTTTGATATAAATAAACTGGAATCAACTCGACTTACAGGCTACTCAAAAAATTATCCAGGTAATTTAATGGTTTTTCCATAAACCATCTGTGATATTGAAAAACCCGTATCCTCTCGAATAGCAGCGCGTAACGCTAGGAGTATTGTCGGCAGAGAATCGGTCCATTTGACTGAATTATGAGCTTTAATAGCAGTTTTAAGTGTCCGATTAAAACGTTCAATTTTACCTTTACTTTGAGGATGGTAAGGAGTAGTATGTAACAGTTTCGTACCGCATATAGCTGCAAGATCTTTGAATACTTGAGATGTAAATTGTCTTCCCTGATCTGAAACTATAGTGTAGGGAGTTCCAATTCTTGACACCCCAGTTATTATAAAAGGCTAGGGCTACACCCTCAGATGTTATGTTCTCCAAGGGTGCTACTTCCATCCAGACGTATATCTGTCAATGCAAGTGAGACAATAATACTTTCCATTTGATGGAGGTAGTGGCCCAATTAAATCAATATGAATCACACTGAATCTTTCGTCGGGCTCTCGAAATGTACCAATTTGGGATTTTGTGTACCTCGTTACCTTTGTTTTTTGACAATTAATGCAAGCGTGGTACCATTTTCGAACGTCTTTTTTTATTTCTTTCCAGATAAATTTTGATTTAAGTTGATTAATTGTAGCCTTTATACCCGAATGATTTAAATCGTGAAATTGATGAAAGATTTGAATTCGAAATTTTTCTGGAATAAACAGTCTTATATTTTCAGTTGACACATCACACCAAAGCATTTTGCCAGATTGTAATGGATATTGTTTGAATTTTAGCGATGTATTTTCTTTGCGTAGATTAAGTAATTCATCACTATTATTTTGTTCCTCTGCAATTTTATCATAATCAATACTTCTTTACCACTAATATGCCGGATGTCTGTGGAAAATTGTGAAATATATTGAAGTTGTCTCTGTTGTCTTGGCGAAGCTTTTTCATTATTTGTTTGAAAGCATATACTAATGGCTTATGATCAGTGAATATATAGAATTCTCTTCCTTCCAACATATATTTAAATTTTTTAATACTCAAATAAATTCCAAGTAATTCCCTATCATAGGTACTGTATACCTTTTGAGCATTATTTAACTTCTTCGAAAAGAATGCTATTGGCTTCCAACAACTATTTTCGCATTGCTGCAAAACTGAACCAATATCATTATTAGATGCGTCTGTACAGAGCGATAATAGAAGTGCAGGGTTGGGGTAGCATAATAATGCAGCACTTGCTAAGTCTTGTTTACATCTTTCGAACTGCAACTTGGCCTCTTCTGACCAATCGATTTTTCTTTTATCATTATTTTTTGAATCTTTCAGATAATCATGAAGAAGAGCCTGCGTAGAAGCTGCGTTCTCAAGATATCTACAATAAAAATTTACCATACCTAGGAAGGTACGCAATTCCCGTTTCGTCGTTGGCAGTTTATAATCTAGAATTGTTTGAACTTTTGATGGAAGCGGTTGAGACCCTCCATTAGCTATCCAGTGCCCTAGAGATTCTAATTGGTCAACTCCTAAGATAGATTTAGCGATGTTTATGCGCAATCCATAGTTTTGTAGTTTCTCGAGAACCAATTTTAAATGGTTTTCATGTTCTTCACAAGTTTCTGAAGCCACTCTAATATATCGTCCAAATAGGGAAATGTAAAATCCAAGCCACGAAGTACTTCATGAATAAAACGCTGAAACGTAGCTGGTGCATTCCTAAGACCAAAGCTCATGACGTTAAACTCATAAAGCCCAAATGGAGTTATTATGGCTGTTTTAGGCTTGTCCTCCTCGGCAATGGGGATCTGGTAATAGGCTTTAAACAAATCAAGTCTAGAAAAAAATCATCTTTCCACTTAAAATATGCTGAAAGTCTTCCAATCTAGGTATTGGGTAGCGATCAGGCAAGGTTTGAGAATTTAATTTCTGTAGTCACCACAAGGTCTTAATGTACCGTCGTTTTTGGTGACCAGGTTGTGATTTGATGGCCGGATTATTTCATGCTCGAGAATAAATTGGAACTCTTGTATAGCTTCATTTAATATTTTTGGATCCAACGGTCGAGCTCTAGAGAACACTGGTGGTCCTTTTGTTATTATAAAGTGCTTCACATCGTGATTAGCTTTCATTATTCCTACGTTGGGCCTCGTAATATCTGGGTAATTAGCCAATAGTTTAGAAAAAATTGATGTTGTTCTATAAGAGCTAAAAGTCTCTTCAGAGATTGAGAAGATATCACCTTTTATTGTCAGGTTTGTTATACCGTCAATCAATTGTCTTCTATTAATATCGAGGATTAATTTGAAATTATTTAGAAAATCGGCTCCAAGTATACCCCTGTTGGTTTTAGCTATTACAAATAGCCATTGGAATTGTCGCCGTAGACCAAGATCTAAAGATAATATTTGAGTACCGTACGTGGAGATTTCCGTTCCATTGGCTGCATATAGCTTGAAATCGTTCAGGGTGGTCCCAATTTTTCCTTTGAAAGGTATTGAGGAAACATCAGCTCCACTACCTACTAAGAATTGCATGCCAGTATTTTTGTCACTTACAAATAAACGGCTATTGCGACGTATGTTCTGTCCAGCAGCAGAGTGCGTCGCACCACTTACTGCTGGTTGGAGTTTTCCGCATTGACCCATTCACATGGCTTTTTACATTTTCCAGGTAGGCAGTTTTTTACATACCTATAATGGAAA